CCCCCCCCCCCCCCCCCCCATTAATTAACCCCAATTAACGCTGCAGAGATGACGACCCGAACTCTCTCTTTCCGACCCCCGCATGGAGAAACCCCTTCACAACCCTCTGAGCAGCGCCCCGGCCCTAATGACCCCTTAATAACCCCCCTCTAATTAACGACCTAACGAGGTTCTTCATTCCTCCTTCCAGCTGCGGGGCGCCGGCGTTCGCCCAGGTTCGTTTTTACCCATTTCTGTGTTTTTTTGGGGGGGTTTTTTGGGGGCCGTTCGGTGATGAGCAGCACGACAAGCATATGGCTGAGCTCCGTGATGCCAAGGCGTGCTGAGGGCGGCCGCCCTCATTAATACCGGTAGTAATTAATGGCGCCGAGAGCCCGGATGGGTTGGGGCCTTAGTAATTCCTAATTAGTGAGCTAATGGGGGCTCTGGGGTTGGGCAGTGGGGCTCTGAGATCGGGGGTAAGGAGCCATTATTAATCCCTAATTAACGAGCTATTAGGGGCTCTGAGACTGGGGGTAAGGAGCCATTATTAATGCCTAATTAATGAGCTATTAGGGGTTCAGAGGCTGGGAGTATGGAGCCATTATTAATCCCTAATTAATGAGCTATTAGGGGCTCGGGGTTGGGCAGTAGGGCTCTCAAATTTGGGGTGAAGAGTATTATTAATTCGTAATTAATGAGTTATTTAGGGGCTCTGAGATTGGGGGTATGGAGTTATTATTAGCTCCTAAATAATGAGTTATTTAGGGGCTCTGGATTTGGGCGATTGGGGCTCTCAGATTTGGGGTGAAGAGCTATTATTAATCCCTAATTAATGAGCTATTAGGGGCTCTGAGACTGGGGGTGAGGAGCCATTATTAATGCCTAATTAATGAGCTATTAGGGGTTCTGGGATTGGAGCAAAAGTATATTATTAATCCCAAATTAATGGCTAATTTGGGGACTCTGGGATTGGGGCAACGAGAAGTTATTAACCACTAATTAATTTAGGGGGCTCTGGGAGTAGACAGCCGTGATTAACGTGCAATTAATGACTTAATTAATTCCTAGCAGAGCGCTCCTTCAGCCCCAAACGGCCGCCCTGTGCTGAAGGTGCGTCCCAGTGTCCTTCTGTCTGTCTGTCCCCCCCCCC